TTTAATGAGGCTTAGCCTGTAGGATAAAGCACTCCAGGCAGAAGGCCCAGTACAAGCAGATGTAAGCATAGAAACATAGCATGATAGGGAATTACTAGCAATATGGTTGATGTACACTATGAGAGATGAGGCCAAGAAGACTGTTTGGAGGCTTTGAGTGCCAAGCAAAGGAATTTGGCTTTTATCCTGCAGGCAAGGACACCTTAGAAGATTTTGTTTGTTTTATTGAGATATAATTCACATACATAAAATTCACCCTTTAGAATCTTTTCAAATATGATCAGGAATGTGTTTTAGAAGGATCGTTATGGTAAGCAGTGAGGAGGATGGATCAGAGGTAGGCAGAGGTTGGGGCTGGGGATAGAGCAGACAAAATTATGACGACTGACTGGCAGTGGTCTGAGAAAAAGGGATATGATGGCTTTCCGTATGCATCCCCCAGATCCAGCAACTATCAACATTTTGCCACATTTACTTTACCTATCCTTTGTTATTGTTGGCTGTTTGTTTTTTGGCTAAAGTATTTAAAAGCAAATCTCAGATATCTTGTCATTTTAACCTTACACATTCAGTATGTATCTGTAAAAAAATAAATAAATAAATATTGAATAAGCGTTGTTATTTCACTCTAGACAAAATTATCAAATGCAGTCCACATAAGATTTCATGAATATTTAAAATGGCTTCTTAAGATTTTAAAAATCAGGATCCAAAAAGTAAGCACAATCTTTTAAGAGCCTCAGGTGAACAAGTATGAACAGAATGTTTCCAGAATACATAGTAATTCTGTAAAATAGTAAAAGAAAGATATGAAACAGCAGTATGAATGAGGAAAATCAGATCAAGGAGAATATTCTCGGTCCATGAGATCAGGGATCTAGAGAAAGAAAGGGGAAACCGGGATATGGTGTATGTATTTCACCACAGTAGAAACTATTCCTACTCCATTTCTAATTTGTTCTGGAATCCTAGCTGATTCTGCTCAGGGAGGATCTGGAATCATCTCTTTGAGCATCCAACCACAAGAGCAAGAGAATCATAAGATGATCCATTCTTTCTCCACTCCCAACCCTCCCTCCTCAGAGCAGCACGTGACATTCCAGACCCTCTCACCACTCCTCAACCCCACCTCTTGCTCCTGTCACGAGGCCCCAATGCCCCAGAGCCCTTTCATGTGATTCTCAGCTGAGACCCCTCTGCGTGTCTCTTCCAGCTCCAGGACAAAAGCCTAGGCTGTGTTCACCCATCTCCATCCCAAAGAAAGGAGGTGGTGCCTCCTCACCCTTTTTATCCAATACCACATTTTCTTACTCCTCCCTTTAAAAACCCTATCTCAAGTGCCTGAGATATTGCCTAAAAGAGTCTCCCACTCATTTCACCCTTTTGGAGCCCCTGCTCCAGGTCATTGTCCAGGGAGCCTAAGAATTAGGGCCACAGAGACCCACTGCCCTCTTGCCCTTTTAAGCATATGGGATTATTTTCAGGCTCAGTCCCAAATCTCCATGTGGGGAGAGGGTTCAGGAGCCCATGTCCTCACTAAATCGAATGAGAGAGAGAAACCTGAAGTGTTCCTGTATCTCCCATTATAAGAGGAAAAACCAGAGCAGGTGTGCAACCCCAAATTCACACTTATTCATATCCACACTCACCTTCTGTGGCCCCCACCGCCAGAAGAGCACCCATCACAGCCACATGGAGAAGGCATTTTCTCTGCACCAGATCCATCCTGTCTTCCTTCCAGCAACCAAAGGCTCTGGGAGGCTGGGACAAGCCCCTATATAAGAAAGGGGTGCTCATTTGCATAGCCCTTCCTCTTCTCCCTCTAGGGGAGTCCTGGGAGGGGCAGGAGGACTGGAGAAAGGCAAAACTGATAAGGGATCCTGGTCCCTGGACATCCCACTACTCAATGAGTTTCTAGTTTCACTGGGTCACTCTCTTCTTTATTGAGAAAGAATTGACTGAAGGGCAGCTACGTTAACTAACGAGTACCCGACACACAATTCATTACGGGAGAGTGAATGAATCTGTTGTTTGAATCAAGCCAGGAACCTCTCAAAAAGACAGAAACAGAGACCCTGCATCCAAAAACATAGACAGTATCGGGTAGGCTGAGAGGCTGAGGCAATGGTTCCTGCGAAACCCAGGAAACCCTTACAATGAGATTCCCAGCTTCCTGGGCCAGGTGGAATTTGATCTTAGATCGATACACATTTTTTCTAAGGGTTGTGAAAACGGCGAGATCAGGAAACGTCTATAGACTCAGGACACAGGGAGGAAACTCGAGCCCAAATCAAGTACTTGGAAAGAAGTGTTTCGCCTCCCCAAGGAGGCAGAAACTTGTCTTAATGCCGCACAAAACCAAACTTGGGCGGGACGCGGTCATTTGTGGCAGGAGGTGCTGGGTTAGCCCCTCCCACTCTTACGTTGCCCAATAGGAAGGGGTGAGGGCGGGGCCAGGGAAACGCGGGAAGGAGAGGCGGGGCTTCTGGTGGTGGTAGGGAACTTGGTGGGGGGGAGGCGGCAACATTGTTTCAAGTTGGACAAATTGACAAGAGCGAGAGATACACTGAGTTCCATCCGGACCTGGAGACGCGGTTCTGGGCCCTGTTTTCCCCTCCTCCGCCCCCGAGAGCCGGGGCCCGCTTTTTGCAGGGTTCCCAGGCCCCCGCTCCAGGGCCGGGCTGACCCGACTCACTAGCGCTTCATGGAGAACTTTCAAAAAGTGGAAAAGATCGGAGAGGGCACGTACGGAGTTGTGTACAAAGCCAAAAACAAGCTGACTGGAGAAGTGGTGGCGCTTAAAAAAATCCGCCTGGACACGTGAGTGGCCTATATACCGGGGCTCCTACCTCGGAGGCTTCTTGAGTGTCCCCCACCCCCAACCCAACAGGCGGGTAGCAGTCCAAGGACCGGAAGGTAGTAGGAAGGGACTTCTTTTGAAGTGGAGAGGTGGGTTGGAGGACTGTAGAGGATTTCCCTGTGGAGATTATAAGGAGTGTCGAATCTGTGGGAAACTTGCTACCCAAAACCGAGTGATGCCCCCAAATGTGCAGTGAGGAAGACACAGGAAGAGGAAAGAGGCCTCTGAGATGGGGTCCAGGACTCCCCGTGGAGTTAGGTTTTGTGGGAACCGGTGAGGAGCACCTTTTTGAATAAGAGCCCTCCTCGCTGCCCTAGCCCCACCCTCATCTTAGAATTCTCTCCCTCTTTCAAAAGAATGGCAGTTGAACCTCACTGGCCCCTCTAGGGAGGCTGGGTAGCTGCTACTCCTTTTTGTTTGTTTTGTTTTGTTTTGTGTTTTTCCCCTCTGTTACCTTCTCTCTTCTCCTTCACCAGGAGGCTTTACTTACCTACCCTTGGGGAAAAAAGAAATAATGACCTTAATATGTCGCAAAGCCACTCCCTGTCCACCCATGAATGAAATCCTACAGCACCCTTTCTCTTCTAATTTTCCTAGGGGACATTGGGGTGCTATCTCCTTGGTGAGGGGAAAAAAATGACTGGGCTGGAGAAAAGGGAATATTTGTAACCACATTTCCATTTCTGCTTTCCCAACCTCTCCAAGTGAGACAGAGGGTGTACCCAGTACTGCCATACGAGAGATCTCTCTACTTAAGGAACTTAACCACCCTAATATTGTCAAGTAAGTATATACCTGGGAGGTGCTTGACAATAAAAAAGGTGCCTTCTGTCTGTGTCGTCTGGGCATTCTCTCCCTCACCTCCATTCCTGGACCTCCGTTCCCTAGGTTGCTGGATGTCATCCACACAGAAAACAAACTCTACTTGGTTTTTGAGTTTCTGCACCAGGATCTCAAGAAATTTATGGATGCCTCTGCTCTTACTGGTATCCCTCTTCCCCTCATCAAGGTAATCTTTCTCATCAACTCTTCCCCAACATGGGCATGTCTTGGGGGAACCGAAGGCAGGCAATTCAGACTGAATGATGATTTGTGACCTTGGTTTCCTTCTCAGCTCTCTTCTTCCTATATATACACACACCTTTCTTTTGTGAGTCTTTCACTGTTCATTATACTTACTAACCATTGGGCTAGGCAGGAGAATCAAAGAAGTTGAAATTCTAGTGAGTCAATGGTCAGATGAAACTCAGATAACTGAGACTTGAGGGCACTTGGTACATTCCTCCAAAAAAGCTCTTCCACCTATTTGGTGGGAGAAATAGCCAGTGAGTCTCTAATGTCTGTTTTAGGGCTAAGTTCTTCACTCACTGAGCTATTTTCATTCTATCAAGAAATGTTTATTCAACGTACATTCATTGAACACCTTCGATGTGCTAGGTACAGGATATGGAAAAGAGATGCAAAACTGAGTAAGACCTGGTCCTTATCCTCACTGGGCTGACAGTCCTGTGAAAGAAATAGCTTATAAATATGTAATTATAATCTAACATAGTAAAGGCTTTCATAGAGCTTTGGAAGCATGGAGTAGACCCTAATCTGCTCAGTGTGATAAAGAAACACAGTCCTCTTTTTCTCCATTGTCAGAGCTATCTGTTCCAGCTGCTCCAGGGTCTAGCTTTCTGCCATTCTCACCGGGTCCTGCACCGAGATCTCAAACCTCAGAATCTGCTTATCAACGCAGAGGGTTCCATCAAGCTAGCAGACTTTGGACTAGCCAGAGCCTTTGGAGTCCCTGTTCGTACTTACACCCATGAGGTCAGTCTCTTTCTGCATTTCTTCTCTGTACTTTCTGGAAGGTGTTAACTAAGACATTCGCCAAGTTACTAAAAATATTTAGACAGCAGTTTCTCACTAGATGGAAAGTATTTCTGACACAAGAGGTCTTAGAGGGTACACAGAGTTTATACTACGGGGCTTAGTGGTCTCTGGTAGGTATCAAGCCAGGAGAGCTGAATATATATCATAAAATTATGACCACTTGCCTCAGATTTTCCAGGAAGGTCACAAATTGAGGGTTCAGAAAATATGGCCCCCAGAGCCATGGGCTAGGTTCATTCTGGGCTAAGGAGTTGTATGTAGTCATTTTACTTAGGGGAAATCAGAATGAAGGGAAGGATGGAGGGAAAGAAGCTGTTAAGCAGCTGAGAGTTAGAGTAGTGTTGGGGAACTGAGATGTGGGACTCTCCATGCTCCATACACCATCCCCCCGCTTCCTACTTTTGTCCCCAGGTGGTAACCCTGTGGTACCGAGCACCTGAAATTCTTCTGGGCTGCAAATATTACTCCACAGCTGTGGACATCTGGAGCCTGGGCTGTATCTTTGCTGAGATGGTACGGAGGCATGCCTGAGTTCCACCCAGCCCACTCTTCCCCACATTCAAGAACAACTAAACTGTTTCTTGGCCCAGACCCATAGCCCTTTATTATCACAGGGTTCTTTCTCTAGAGTAGTACCAAGGTGGGTGGTAGGAAAAGGATAGGACCGTTGTCCCTGATATCAATCACAATGTTAGGATATTCTTAAACAGCCTTAGCATCCAGCGTACATCTCTTATCCTCGAACTGAGCTAAATCATTTCTGCAGCTGCTTTAGCTTTAGTCTGCATATATTAGGGAGAATGAATTCCATTTAGTGCTTCTTTCATTTGCCCTGGAGACCTTATCGTAAGGTACCAGGAATGCAGTGAGGCCACCTGTGTTCACCTTAGCCACACCTTTTGTGTAAACTGCAGACTTAGGATCATGTCCCCCTTCAACCTCTAGCTTTTCAGACTGAAAGATCCCTGAGACCCAGTGTTATGTGGGAACTCTTGTCCCCTTTAATACGACAGTGGAGTGGGCTGAGTTTTCAAATCAAATCAGCAATATGTTTTATGGTCCTTTATCTGGGTTGTAACTGGGGGCTTGGAGACAATTAGCCTATATATATATATAATGTACATTTATCCTCCAGTGCATTACCTTACAATTGCCCATATTCCTCTCTCAATTCATCAAAAAATATTTGTTAAGCACCTAGTGTGTACCCAGCACCATGCTAAGTGCTGTGGGGAACACAGAAGAAATGGAAGACACAGTCTCTGCCCGCTGTGCTCCTATCTAGAAGTGGCTGCATCACAAGGAGGGGGGATGACCGCAGTGTCTACCCCACACCCCGTGAGTGGCTTGGGATCCCTTTGCTACATGTCAGTGGCACCCCAGACATTCACCCCCTCCCAGCCCCACCCAGCCTTGGGGATCTGCAAAGCCATGGTTGGGGGAAGGAAGGAGGGGGCAAGGAGACAGATGAAGGGACTTCATTGTCTCAGGCTCTGTGTGACTGACCCCATGAAAGTTCCTGGGGAGGGAGTCATGGGGCCCTGCTGACCTACCACTGCCTGTGGGAACCTCCATTGTATGGGAGGCAGTTTTGACTGACTTCAGTGCGGGTATTGGCCTTTCCTCTTTCCCCATTTTCAGGTGACCCGCCGGGCCCTATTCCCTGGAGATTCTGAGATCGACCAACTCTTCCGGATCTTTCGGACTCTGGGGACCCCAGATGAGGTCGTTTGGCCAGGAGTCACTTCTATGCCTGATTATAAACCGAGTTTCCCCAAGTGGGCCCGGCAAGATTTTAGCAAAGTTGTGCCTCCCCTGGATGAAGATGGAAGGAGCTTGTTATCGGTGAGAGTTGCGGGGAGACTCCTGTTTCCTCTCATTCACCACTCTAGGGCAGGGTTTCTCCTAAATGAAGGATGAGACCCTGAACTCTGGGTCTCAGCATTTATCAAGACCCTGCTTCTGTCTTCCTATTGTCACACCAACTGAATGGTTAGATATAGGGAGGAGGGAAATGGGAACTTTGCCTTGGGTAAAATGAATTCTCGTTTTTTTTGACTTCTTGGAATACTTGCTGCCCATTTAGTCCATTATCACTGAAGTCAGTATACATCTCTCCCTCCAGCAAATGCTGCACTACGACCCCAACAAGCGGATTTCGGCAAAGGCAGCTCTGACTCACCCTTTCTTCCAGGATGTGACCAAGCCAGTACCCCACCTTCGACTCTGATGTTCTTCCCCAAGCCCTCAGTCTTACCCTCTCCCCAAGTGGGGGCCTGATCTGGCTTGGCCCTGGGCTATTTGCCCTCTGTCTTGTCTGGCTGCCTTAACACTCACTTTCCCCTCTTAGCCAGCCAACTCTGGGGATACAGGGGTGAAAGGGGAAAATGGGTAAAAATGAAAGGAAGCTTCAGTATTACATGCACTTAAGTCAGCCTCTGTCCCCCTCCTCTTAGTCATTGCTGAAGAGAGCTAGTATTACAAAAAAAAAAAAAAAAATGACTGACTTTTACCCGTCCCCACTCAATGGAT